AGCCAAGGCTCTTCATCCCGGAGCAAGGAGGCCAAGGGGCAAAGGGAGAAGAAGCATGGAAAGAATAAAGAATGACTAAAGGCCCCATGACCCTGCAGAACGTTCCTAAAACACCTGTCAATCTGTCTAGAACAAATCAATATATATGTGTGTATATACACACACATATATATATAAAGAGAGAGAGAGATAGTGCAAGTAGGGAAGAGAGGCAGAGAGAGAATCTTAAACAGGCTCCATAATCAGCTTGGAGCCCCCATGCAGAGCTCCATCTGACAACAGTGAGATCATGACCTGAGCTGAAATCAAGAATTGGACACTTAACCAACTGAGCCACCCAGAGGCCCTGAGAATATATATTTTTTAAGGGCACAATCATGTAAATAAAGGGAAACTGTGTGACTTATGTAGGTTTGCGTAGCTTTAGAAAATTCCACAATTAGTCATTCAGTGAATTGACTACAATCCTTGGTTGATAGGATGCCTACCCTGCCCAGAGAAGACAAAGCCTAATAAGGAGTGAGCTAGAAACCGAACCCCTGAGTCCAGGAAGAATTCCCCTTCAAGTTCCCCTCTCTATCCAGAGCAAGTTGTCTAGTTAGAGAAAACTGATGGTCAGGAACTTGGAGGCCAGTAATGCCTCCAGCCACGCCTGCAAGCCTGCCTGTCATGTATCTGCTGTACTGCCCCGCTGTATCGTTGTAACGCAGCAGTGTCTTACATTTAGTAGGGATTCAAACACTGTTTGAACAAATGAATGAATGAATCCTGAGATTAAAAGCCAGAAGACTAGAATAGCTAGAAAAGCTTAGAACAAAGGAAAAGGGCAACACAAAAGAGGAACAGGAAGCTATAGCAGAGTGGCAAAGAAAAAGCTACGACAGCAGATATAGTGGCAAATGGGGGAGATGGGAGGGGGATGAGAAGAAACGAGCAGAAGAGAGAAGGAAAACGGTACTGTGCTTGCAAGTAGCTTAAAGGAAATAGGTATAATGGTAATTATACCTACAGATGATACAAATTATACCCTAACTCCCTTATTAGCCCAATGTAATATAAGTATTAGAAAATTACAAAAATCTTCTGAAAAGCAAGAGTTGACACCAAATCAGACATTACAAGGAAAGGAAACTACACTCAATATGACTCATGAAAAGAAAAACAATATCCTTGACAAAACATTAGCAATACAAATCCAACAATATATTAAAAGGATAATACACCATTAGGTTTATCCTAGAAATGCAAAAGTAGTTCGACATTTGAAAAAATAATAAATTAAAAACCCTATGTGGTCTTCTCAAAAGATGCAGAAAAAGTATTAGATAAAATTCAACATTTGCTCACGATTAAAACTCCCCACAAACCAGGAGTAGAAGGAAACTTTTTCAACCTGATAAAGGGCATCTACAAAAAATCTAACATAATACTTTATGGTGAAAGACAATGCTTTCCCCCTGGGGTTTGTAATGAGGCAAAGATGCTCACTCCCACCACTCCTTTTAAATATAGTACTGGAGTCCCCAGCCAGTGCAATAAGACAAAGAAAAGAAGAAAAGGCATACAGATTGGAAACGATTACGCTGAGTGAAGTAATCCAGATTTTAAAAAGTATATACTGTATGATTCTACTTATGTAAAATTCTAGAAAGTGCAAATTAATCTATAGTATCAAAGGTTGCTTAAGTAATGGTTGGGGAAAGGATTATAAAGGAGCACAGGAAAATTTGTGGGGATGATAGATATATTTATTGTCCTGTTTATGGTGGTGTTTTCACAGGCCTATACACCATACATCTGTATAAAGTGCACTCTTCAAATATGTGTCTTTTATTGTCTGTCAGTTATATCTCAATAAAGCTGAGAAAAGGATAAAAATAATTAAGAGGTGAAATACATGAATTATGATCACCTTTGAAGAGAATGTGGATCTCTATGCACATTATGAAAAGAGAGCCAAAACCTGTTGATAGAAAAGTGTGACGTTAAGGTTGCCCGATTTAGTAAATAAAAAGATAAGACTCCCAGTTGAATTTCGGATAAATAATGAATAATTGTTTAATATAAACACATCCTAAATGTTGCATGCAACATTATGTAGGAAAAAAAAATTGCTGTTTATTCATTATTTATCTGAAATTCAAATTTAATAGATCTTGTATTTTTTTTGGCAATCCTAGACATGGCCTTATCTACAATGTATGAAATCAAGCCTCTAAAATGGGCGGCTGCTTGATTTCTGTGTTTATTCTGACTTAGATGAAGCCCCTGAACACCAGACAATGGCTGTATGTTCAGTGTCCAGACAGTACAGTACTTATTCACAGTTGGTGCTCAGAAAATATTTTTTGCTCTGCAAGCTGTATGAAGATAGGGACTGAATCCATCTTACTTACCATTTTACTCTGAGAGCCTATTACAATACCTAGTGCTCAATGAATATATGATTAAATGAATAGATGCCTCTCATGCCCCAGAAAATACAGGTCAAACTTTTAACTCCAGCCCTTGTAGCTGGCTGATTGACTTCTCAGACAAGTCCCAGTTCTGATTTCTTATCTTATCACTTCACTTTTGCTGGATGTGTCTCAGGTTGCTGTTGTTTTTTTTTTTTATTTTGTGTGTGACTGACCTATCCTTTTACAATGCCTCTTGTTTTTCCCTTTGGAATCTGGGTGATTGCTCTGAGATTCTGAGACCTTCAGCCTTTGGGGAAATCTCAAAGTCTGACACAACAGGTAGGATTGCTTAATGAAATATTGGGGCATATTAAAGTTAAGGAGATTTGGAGTAGAGCTTTAGTTTTGGGGAGATCAGGATAAAAAGGAATCTATCTATATTGGTGGTGGGTAGGATTTTATATATCTGGGATTTTTATTATGTCTTATTAATGCCTGAAGTACAGAATGCATCCAAACTCTAAATACCCTCATTTTCCTTCATAAAATTAAAAACCTAATGTTCTTCCCTGTAGTTTACTTTCACAAAGACGCAGAGATTATAGAAGTTATTTCTAGGGAGAGAATGATAGTGTGGAGAAAAATGTTTTCATGCTTAGATTTTAGAACGCTAAGAAATCCAAAAATAATTAAGTATAAAGTGTGTATTTAGTATAACTGCTTCTTGTTTTGTAGATGAGTATGAGACCCAGACAGTCCTCAAATTCACACACTGAATGAAGTGAGTGAAAAAGGTACTCAGTAAAATCTAGGTCTCCCTCATACTTTTTATCTCTACAACCCATTTTCCCTACTTCTTTGCAGTCAGCTGAGGGGTGGTGGATGCTGGGTGCAATAGTAACAAAATTAGGCACATTGTGCTAAGAGCATATATGCTACTCTTCTTGACATGCCAAATGTTGTTCTTGAGTTTTTTTAGTCCAAACCTTCCTTTACCATTAAAGCTTTTTGTGCTGCTTCATAGGTGTGTCCTGGGCTGATTCATTCTTCTTGTATGGTTATATTTTTGTCTTAGGGGGAAAAATTAATTAAGTGCAGGTTACTGTTGTTTTGAGATACTTTAGGTCACTGGTCCATTTCTTTGCAAAAAGAAATTTTAGGAAGTGGACAGGAGGAAGGTGGCAGAGATTTCTAAATGGAGGAAAACCTGTCCTTGTTTTTTTCCTAAGATGCAATTGTCTTAAATAGTTTTAAGCTTTAATGCTTCCATACAAGCACAGTTGCTTTGGAGGAGGAGAAAGAGGTAAGAGGAGAGAAAATATCATGTTTTGTAAATAGGTAAAAAAAAATATCATGCAGAAATTCATAAAATATTAGGAAGTTTTCCTTACAAGGATGATTAGAAAGAAAAACGAATCCTACCAATTCCCAACGCAAATGAATTAGAGACAAATGCAGCCAAACAAGCAGAGGTACTTACCCCTCTCCCAAGGGAAGATGAAGTGTTATTAAGGTAGCTAGTACCGTGCAAAATGTTTTAAGAGTGCCGGTTGAGAAGTGGTACAGATACGGGAAACGTTAGCGTTTGCTTTTATTGGTAAGGTGACGCAAGTATTGTCACTGCATCTTTTCCTCTGCCTCCAGACGTGGCGACTCCGCATGTTGCAGGTGGAGGAGCTGGTCTGGGAGAGGGGAGCTGGGACGCAGTTCTGCAATCTAAGCTGGATGGGGTCTACCCTGCCCGAGGCTGCATTGCAGTGAGGCGTGAAAGGTTCGTGTGTACCAAAGTTCAGGGGACCTTTCTGTAGCCGGAAGCAGCGCAAGAAACGGAGGAACGTAATCTCATTTAAGGCATGAGATTCTGACGCGCTCAGGCTCCAGTATTCCCCAATTTGGGCGGAAGGCAAATAGCGCAGAGCAGGGGGCGGCGGTGCAATGTTTCCTCCGGTCCGTCAAGGGCCGCTAGGATCAAGTCCCCGCGTGTAGCCGCTCTCGCCCGCCTCCCGTCTCTGTAGCCTCTCACCCCCCGCAACCCGCCCCCCTCCCGCAGCCGCCGGTGGGAGAGCGAAGGCGCGGCCAGCACGCGTGCGCGCTCCCTCGGTGCAGCTAGTCTGCGTGCGTGAGTGGGAGGTGGCAGGCCTCAGTCTCTGGCCTTCTCCGCTGACTGTTCCAGCGCGACGTCCCCAGCCATGAACCGGTTTGGTACCCGGTTAGTGGGAGCCACGGCTACCCCGCCGCCGGTGGCGGCGAAAGCCCGCAGCAATGAAAACCTTGACAAAATTGATATGTCTTTGGGTAAGGAGCGAGTTGGACCGAGTTGGAGTGGGGGGAGGGAGTGGGTGGAACCAAGTAGCGCGGTTTGTGGGGGAAGGGGCGGTTGGCCGCAGTTGTCGGTCGAGTTTTTTTGCGGGTGGGCGGAACCCGGTGAGGGCCGGTGGGGACGAGGGGAGCGCGAGCCGGTGCCGCGGTCGGGCCGGAGGGACCCGGGCGTCCCTTCGGCGCGGCTGTGTCTGAGGAGAGGCAGTGGGGGCGGGGGGCGCTGCGGACCGGGAGGTTGGAGGGGCGAGGGGCGCTACCACTCTTGGGCGACCCCGGCTCTTTGTGAGGAAAACTCCGCGGGTTTCCCCTCGAGCGTGTTCGCTGGGGGCGTTAACGGGCGAGCGAGGGGGAAAGGTCCGACCAAGCCATCATTTCTGAAGAAAGCCCTTGGAGAGCACGGCTGGGTCTGCGTTCGGTTGGAGTCGCTGGTTCCGGAGGAGGGCTTGTTGGGCATTTTATGTGGCCGGGCCTACGCCTGGCGCGGCGCGAGAAGCGCAGAGACGCCCCCGGGAGTTGGCCATTCCTGACGGGCGCCAGACCGCGGGGCTCCGACCCGGGAGCGCTTTTCAGAAAATATCGTCGGACAGGGGGGTCATCAGATAGTGTTTCATTAGGAGGTGCCTAGAAAGGCACACTCCTTATTCAGGCCTCAAAGTTCGCTAAGGAGGAAAAAAGCAGAAACTGACAGAGACACTGACATGGATTAGTGGGAAGCCGGGAGAAGCAGTGGGGTCCAGCCTATGAGTGGGGTAGTTCGGTGAGGATTATGTAAAAAAGTAGGAGGGTTGGGGATTCAGTTGAAAATTCAGACCTAACGCAGGTGAGGCGTTAGTCTCTGGATTAGCTGGTCTGAAGTTAACTCTCTTTGTGTCAAAATTCAAGTTCCGGTTATTAGATGGGGTTAGTTCTGCCTGCTCTTTCGGTGGCTTACAGGTTTTCGGAAAAGTGTTTGAAAATACGTGACAGGCGGATACAGAGGTGGAACTATTCCAAGGAAGGTATTTTTCTTTTGCTGTGGTTCATCTGCAGTTTTTTTTTTTGTCAAAAATCAAGAACTCTTGGATTTCTGTGATTAGTGTACATCAGAATCCAATATGTGAATTAAGTAAATCATCAGAAATAATAGGTTTGGCCTCAAGACTTGTTGATAGTGAACTCTAAAGAAATGAGAAAACTTTTCAGCTAAGGACGAGAAGAATAGAATAACGAGTATTTATTGAGTTCTTACTACCTTGCAGGCACTGAACTAAACATTTTATGTGTGTTAACTCAGTTTTAGCCTCCTAGTAACTCTATGAGGTGTGTGCTCCTAATAGTAAAGAGCATTGAATCCGTTCAGAACCACATTGTCTCAATTCAGATCCTGTGCCACTTATTAGCCCATGTGGTCACAGGGACATTATTTCTCAGTGCTTCATCTGTAAAAAGATGATGTTAAGAACAGTGCTTATTTCCCTCAGAGGGTTACTATATTAAATGATTTAAACTGCTTAGAGCAGTACCTGGTACACAGTAAGCACTGTATTTGCATGTAAACACTATATAAACCATTGTTTGTATTCCCATTTTACAAAACCTGAGCCATAGGGAAATAACTTGTTCCAGATCATACAAGTAAAAAACAAAACAAAACTGTAGGTGTTGCAGGAAATGTTAAACATGTATTTTCATAACCAATATATTTCTCAGGTTTCTAGTGTTTTTTTTTTAATGTTATTTTGATGGTTAGGATGTTCAAGTGAAGAAAACAGAGATAATTCCCTTTGAGGTAGAAATGTGCTGTGGATAGCTAAACTAGACCTTGGTTTCTTTTCTCTCCAAGAATATATAGCATTTTTTCAGATTACTTTTTTTATCCCATTACAGAAATGGGATAAAGAGATGATATCTATTTTTCTTTTTTTTTTAAGTGTATTTTTTTAGTTGCTTCTATACCTGCCGAGGGGCTTGAACTTATGACCCCGAAATACCGCATGCTCTTCTACCTGAGCCAGCCAGGCGGCTGGAGAAATTGAGAGAAACAAAATACCTATTTTAGACAATCATGCTTTGTGAATATTCCATTTTATCAGGTCTGCAGAGGTTTAGAATCCGATTTTTGTTTAAATGGTGGCTGTATGAATTATGTGAGTATTCATAGAGAATATCTACCAAGGTTACAATAGGTGACCTCATTGTGATTCAGTTTTTTAATCTTAAAATGAGTATTATAATACTTATTTCATAGAATTCTTGTGAGAATTAAATACTTGTGCAATGTTAGTTACTACTATTATTACCACCGCATGTATACTCTCATTACATGTATATATACACTATTATTAGTGTGTATGGTCCATGTATCTGCTCCTATTATTACCATACATATACCATATATAAGTAGATGCATACATATATACGCTTATATATACTCATGGAAGAAACTTTTTCGTAAAAGTAGCTCATTGTAATCAATTTTTGTTTTGTTACATACTCTTATCTACCTGAGTAGGAAAAAGCCATTTTCTTCTTTTAGATTGGAAGAATCCATAATAGATCATTTAACTTGAGGATTTAGATCATAAAACATTTAAATATAAAACTATTTTATATTTTATATGCTTTGCTACTTTAATTTTTTTTTTCTTTAAAGTAGGCTCGATGCTGAATTTGGGGCTTGAACTCATGATCATGAGATCAAGAGTTGCATTCTCTACCGACTAAGCCAGTCAGGCACCGTTGCTACTTTTAATTTTTCATTATGTTTATGATCTAAAATGCCATATTTTAAAAATAACCTTGTGAGTCAATTATTTTCTGCCTCTTTTTTTAATGGTTCTTAGCAAATTCATTTTTTTGATGTACTTTCATGGCTCTGAGATTTCAGACTTCTGCCGAAGAATAAGTAGCACTTGTTAAAGGAAAGTAGTGTTTTGAAAGTATTAAAAAATAGTCCCTTTCTGTCTCTTGAGAATTTAATATGTTCATCCAATATCATAAAGTTTTTTTATTTTAAAATAAATGTTTTTGAGTGTCTTTAACTTGGATGAATTTATGTATATTGAAGGACTGATCTCAAAGATAACAAAATACTTTGGGGAGATTCGAATTCTTTGAATGAATATTTGTGATTAAAAGTTTTAAAGATTACTGATGGGTTAGGTAGTGTAGTAATGTATAAGAAAGGCTCACTATAATATATAATTGCTTCTTTTACTTTAGAAAAGACTATATTGACAGAGCTGTTAGATTTGTGTTTTAGAGCAGCGTGGAAAAAATAACAAGAGGTTTTTTTGTGAAATTTTATTAAGTTGTTGATTAGGTCTATTTGCTTTATCAATCATCAAAATTAATATTGGAGTTGGGACTATGGAGAAAGAATTTGGATATTTTTTAAATGAGTATTTTTGGCTTCTAGTAACTTTCTTTTAACATTTATAAATAGAAATTTGAAGTATAGTTTCTTGACCTTCACATTGATGTGCTGTAGTTTTAGAGCAATGTTATGTTTGTGATTAGTTTGGTAGGAGAGTTTGAAAGTGAGGCTTTGAAGGATCAGGTAGAAAGAAAAACAAGGTAACCCTGAATTATTTTGCTAGATGAGTGGAGAACCCATAGTACTTTCTTTTTGTACTATACCTTTACCCTGTAGTTGTTTGATTTCATATTTGCTATTTGTTTCCATCAATTTTAAAATTTTGTTTTAATGCTTATTGATTTTTGAGACGAATGCGGTGGGGCGGGCAGAGAGAGAAGGAGGGGGACAGCAGAATCCGAAACAGGCCCCAAGCTCTGTCTGAACTGTCCGCATAGAGCCTAATGTGGGTCTCGAACTCAAGAACAGTGAGATCATGACCTGAGTCGAAGTCACTTAACCAACTGAGCCATCTAGGCTCTCGTTTCCATCAATTTTAAACTTAACTAAGAACAGGGACCACATTTTACTTTTGTTTGTTTTCATTACAGCACATTCATTGCACATAGTATATGCTCAATAAATATTTGCTGAATTGAGATAAACTTAGAAATTTTTTCTTTTAATTGAATGATTTATTTTTTTTGACTGCCTCTGGTTTTATTGTAAGATGGTCATCTTTTTTTTTTTTTAATGTTTATTTTTGAGAGAACGCAAGCAAGTGCGTGGGGGAGGGACAAAGAGAGACTGAGACTCAGAAGCCGAAGCAGGCTCCAGGCTCTGAGCTGTCAGCACAGAGCCCAAGGCAGGACTTGAACCACAACCCATGAGATCATGACCTGAGCTGAAGTCGGATGCTTAACTGAGTGAGCCACCAGGCATCCCAAGATGGTCATCTTTAAAAACCCGGAGACTTCAGGGAACCTGGGTGGGTCAGTTGGTTAAGTGTCCGACTCTTGCTTTTGGCTTGAATCAGAATCTCATGGTTGGTGGGTTCGAGCCCCATGTTGGGCTCTGTGCAGACAGCATGGACCCTGCTTGGGATTCTCTCTCTACCTCCCTCTCTGCCCCTCCTCTGTTTATGCTATCTTTCTCAAAATAAATAAACATTAAAAAACAAAAGCTTAAAAACTGGAGATTTCTGTGATTGTGGAAAGTAAATATGAATAATTTTTCTAAACAGGCTTTTGCTTATTTTTATGTGTCAGATAAAGAAATACAATGGATAACGGACATCTTCATTAATTGGTACATCTGCATTGTGCAATTGATTTGAACTTTTCCTACAAAACCTTTCTTTAGTGTTCCAAGTATATTGGCTGATTTGAGTTTTTATCTTATTATCCTCTTATGAAAGTGCTTTCAACGTAGCAAAGAAGTTAGGAATATAAGAAATCTATAGACTAGAAATAAGACTGAGTGATTGAGTCATTAAGTTAAAATGAAAATAATCACATTTCCTGTATCACAGATGATATCATCAAATTGAATCGAAAAGAAGGAAAAAAGCAGAATTTTCCAAGACTAAATAGAAGACTCCAGCAAAGTAGTGCCCGACAATTCAGGATGAGAGTACGCTGGGGAATCCAACAGAATTCTGGTAAGTTTTACAAGTAAGCTTTAACAAAGAGCTGTTATTTGTGTGTTCATAGTATATTATTTTTAGTACATACTTAAAACATAGAGGAAATATATTAGTACCCTTTGTGAGTACTTTCAGATTTTTGTTTAATATTGAAATCTGATAAACATTTTAAGTTGCTTTAAGTAGGTGATAACCCTGTTTCTTAACAATATTAAGTCATTTTTAAAGTATTCCCAGTATATAAGTAGCATAAATTATATTTAGGGCTACAGTATTGTAAAGGATCTTACATATCATGAGGTTTTATCTCCTGCTCATGTGTTTCTTCAACAGTTTATCTGGTGAATAATTATCTAACTCCAGCATACATATATCTTCAGTGAAAGAGCATACCACCTCAAAAGACATCTCCATTATTGGAAACAGCTCTATTTATTAGAAAGTTCTCTTAATTTGAATTGAATCATGCCTATCTGTTAACTCTATGGAGTTACAGGAAGCAAACTCCCTTTTCTATGTGAGAACTTTTTAAATATGTGGAGACTACTATTTTACATGGACAGTACTTCCAGAGTGTTTGTATTATCATCTAGGACTTTTAGGATTTGTTAAATCCTCCAAAGGTAACACCTATTTATTTATAACCATCTTGTTCCAAAATGACTTTAAGGCAATAACTGAACCCTACCAATTGTATATGACTAATTAATTCTTTAGCAGTTATGTCAGTGTTTTAGAATAAACTTTTGTTCAAATTAAAAAAAAAAAACAACTCTAGACCTTTTTTTACACATGTAAAAATGTTTGATAAACTAGCTCCTAAGTTGACTTTTATCCTGTATGTTAAAAAACATAAAAAATCATTGTCAGTGGGTTGAACATGATTGTAATTAGCTCTATATCTAACCGTTAATGTGCCATCATACCCTTAAAATATGTTTGTAACAGAGGTTAGGCCCTACAAAAAATTTTATTCTTCTCTAATAATTTTTAAAGACAAGTAAATTTTGTGACAGATATCTAGTTGTAACATATGAATGTTTAATTCCAGTGATTCATATTTTAAGATTTATGTTATTCAGCATGCCATTCTACAAATGATTTGCTTTAAAATAACTTCAGAGTTCATAGAGGCCAGAAATCTATTGTTTTACTAGCCATATGTTAAATATGTAATAAATGCTTTGAACTGACTAGGTTCTCAGGGTATTTAAAGATGTGATCTTTTACTTCAAGGAATTTCTAGTAACAGAGATAAGACAGGAAACATGGAGTTTAGAAATGTCATAAGAGAAATTCCAACAGTACTATAGGACTTTAGATTTTGTGCTAAGAAAATCAGCGGTGATTTAATGGATAAGGTGAAATAGGATCTAGTCCATGAAGTATCAGAAAATCTTTCCTTTTATGGGGGTTATGATCTAAGCCTTAAGATAAATGATTATCTAGGGGCAGCTTATGATCTTAGAAGATTGAACTTGTGCTTGTTTGTTCTCCAGTTACATGTAACAGAGCCTAAAATAGAACAGCTGCTGCTGTCAGTGAATGTGCAGAGAGATAGGAGATTGTCTCAAATTCTGATTGGTTAGAAGTTCAGATTTCCACATTGTATGTCAGTGAGGATGTTGGCTTGAGGTAAGAGAGAGAACACATAAGACAGCCCTTGGCAGTCTCTCAAATTACTTTTATTTTTTAAAATACCAGATAATTTTTATTAAAAAATTTTTTTGATGCTTTATTTATTTTTGAGAGAGAGAGACAGAATGTGCGTGGGGGAGAGGAATAGAGAGAGAGAGAGAGAGGGAGACTTAGAAACTGAAGCAGGCTCCAAGCTCTGAAGTGCTAGCACAGAGCCCGATGTGGGGCTCGAACCCACGAACCACGAGATCATGACCGGAGTTGAAGTTGGACGCTTAACCGACTGAGCCATTCAGGTACGCCTCAGATAATTTTTATTTATTATTTTTTTAAGTAATCTCGACAGCCATCAGTGGGGCTCAAACTTAGGACCCTAGATCAGAAGTCGCATGCTATACCACTGAGCCAGTGAGGCGCCCCTCTTAATGAATCATTTTTGATGGTTGAACAAACAACTGAATAAAATCTTCCTAATTCTTTGCCCAGAATATAGTCACTCATTAAATATTTGTATCAACAACGTGAATATTCTTCACTGGGGCAATACTGTGTAGTACCAACAGCTCTCAAAGTGTTGTCCAGGGGATCCAGGAAATCCCCCATTTTCTGTACATTCCCATGAATGTACCATGGAGTCTTCCAGAGTCTACATGATGTGTGATAATTAAATTGAATGTGGTAGCAGATAAGAGAATCTAGCTATCTTCTATTAAGACAGATACTAAAGAGATTTGCAAGAATATAAAAACATTGCTACCCTTCCTTTTAAATATTTTTAGATTTTTTGGAAAATAATTGTTATTTTTCATTAAAAATATGTTATTTGCCCTGTTATTGGGTTCATTATTGCTGCTTTAATGAAATAGTTTTTAACTGTCTTAGTTCTTATTTCTAGTGTGATAATATCCATAAACATAAGCCCACAGAAACAAAAATTCTGGAGTTGTCAATAATAATTAAGAGTATAAAGAGGTCCTGATACCAAAAAGTTTGAGAATGCAGCTTCTTTTGGAGGTAGAAGACATAGGAAAATATTTGTATACTGCTTTGAAAAGGAGCCAGTAATGCATTCACTCTGATTTGACATTTCCCAAAAAACCTCTCAAATCTTTGTGTAAGATTTTTGTAACCTCTCAAATCAGACTCCAGAAATTACCGAGATAAGTTAGTAAGTGTATGAAAGAAATTCATGAAGAGATTGAGCAAAGGATTCAAAGATGAAAATTCCTCCCTCTAGTTTTAATTGTTTTCAACCTTGGTCACACCTGTGGAGCTTTATAAACTAGATCAATGTACTCTGTTTGTACTGAAGCAGAATCTGCAGAAGTAGGGCCTAGGATTTTTTTTTAAAGCTCCGTATGTTCTGATACATGACTAGGATTAAACGACTGCTCTAGAACAGCCGAAAATGTGAAAAGATCTTCATAGAGATAGTAGTTGCAATACTGAGAATGAAGGTACTCTGGAAAGACAGAAGAGAACTTTCTAGAGTAGCTGGAATGGATGAGAACTAAGAAAAAATGGGGTACCTGGCTGGCTCAATTTGTAGAGCATGCAACTCTTGATCTTGGGGTCATGAATTCAAGCCCTGTGTTGGGTGTAGAGCTTGTTTACAAAAAGAAAAAAAAAAAAAACCTCAGAAAAGACTTACTGCATTAAATTATGTCTATAGTGCATTTTAGAATATAAGTCACAGAAGATAAGAAGAGAGTGAATTGGGGCAGTATGCATAGGTCTTTCTTTATGAAACACGACAATGAAAAGGTCAAAAATAGAACCATTGCTAAAGTTGAGGTATAGCTGGTGAAGTTTGTTCAAAGGTGTTAAGGAAGAGGTTAATGAATGATAAAGTTTGCTAGATGGTAGAGGAGAAGCCACTCATAGAAATAAAAGTGGAAAGGATAGTGAGTATGGGAACAATGACTATAGTACTCAAATAGAAAACACCCAGGAATAGAATTCTTTTCTCATTTTAATCAATTTTATTCTTGTTAATGAAACTTTTCTTATGCATCTTTCTCATGTAAGCTTAAAACTTTGGTATAGTAATGGAGTCCTTCTCTTTCTCTTTCCTCTGCTAATTCATTTGTTCTTTTGGAATACGTCAAATTTCTTTGTTCCACTATCAGTCCTTCATCATGTCTTGTTTGAGTACTACAGTAGCATCTGAATGGTCAGATGGAATGGTCTCATTGCCTTCCTTCTTCCCTCTTCCATTTAGTTTAAAATACTGTTGGGATGCCTGGATGGTTCAGTCGATTAAGCATCTGACTTTGGCTCAGGTCATTATCTTGAGGTTTGTGAGTTTGAGCTCTACATCGAGCTCTGCTGACAGCTCAGAGCCTGGAGCCTGCTTCAAATTCTTTGTCTCCCTCTCTCTGTCCTTCCCCTGCTCATGCTCTCTCTCTCTCAAAAACAAATAAACATAAAAAAAATAAAAAAGGTTGTGGGAGGGGGGATGGGCTAAATGGGTAAGGGGCATCAAGGAATCTACTGAAATCATTGTTGCACTCTATGCTAACTTGGATGTAAGTTAAAAAAAAAAAAAGAACATATGGTTTAAAAAAAAGTTACTACTTCTAAACTGATGTAACCTGGTAATGAATCCTGTGGCCCCCTCATTCCTTGTCAAGTGTATTCTTTATCCCCATGTAAAGCATTCTGATCTGAGTCTATCACATCCATTTACTTCTTATTCTAAAATTTTTTTAGGGTTTATTTATTTAGAGAGAGTGGGGCTCAAGCCCACAAACCATGAGATCATGACCTGAACTGAAATCAAGAGTCAGATGCTTAGCTAACTGAGCTACCCAAGCGCCTCTCTTATTTTCATTCTAGACCGTATCTCAGTATGCTGTGGTTATCCATGTCTTTGTACTTTTAGGTTTCTGTCTATCTCCCTACTCAAATTTTGTCTATTCTATAATGCTGAGCTGAGAGCCCACTGTTTTGGTAATAGTTGTTTTTCTTCTCTTTGGAAATGTGTCACTTTTTATTTATTTTATTTGCTTTTTATTCTTTATTTTTTATATTACAGTTTGGAAAAAGTTCAGTTTTGGAGTCACACAAACTTGCACTTAGAGCAGTGACTGTGCCATTTTCTAACTGTGACATCTGGGTAGTCACTTTTCTTTACCTCACTTCACTTACCTGCAAAATTAAGATGTTAGCATCAATCTTATCAAGTTCTCATTTAAAGTACTTGGCCCAATGTGTTAGCAGAGTTGATGGTATCTGTTTCTTTAATACAAATAAAAATAATAAGTAGTTGTAGATTTAATTAGACAAGTTTTGTGTATGCTTAATCTTTATTTGGTTGCAATTCTAGAAGGAAAAAATATAGCAACAGTAATTTGATTTTCAGGAGGTGTCTGGCTGGCACAGTCAGAAGACTGTGCAACTCCTGGTCTCGGGGTTGTGAATTCAAGCCCCACATTGGGTGTAATTACTTAAATAAAACTAAAAAAACCCACATAATTTTATTTCAAAAATTTAAAAGTTGTGTTTTGCTTTTTTCCTGATTATAAAAGTAATAGCATCTGCACTTTGGGATTATGGCAGAGCACCCAAGAAAGGAACAAATCTGGAAAAACTCCCTGTCACACTGAGTTGCCATCCTGTGGAACTCACTAGGAAGCCATCTGTGAGCATGATGGAACTTAAATTCAATGGAGGAGGAGTTGGGCTTAGGAGTAGATCTAGATAGATGCCTAAGACCCAAAATTCAAGGCATTGCTCACACTCAGTTTGTGCCTTTGGTTCTTCTCTTGCCTCACTGTAGTCTCAGCTTACAGGGGAAGGATAATGAACACGACTGGATGTTTTTTGCCACAGATGAATCTTGAGGTATACACTGGAATCTGGAAGTAAAAATAAAAATGCATTCTTTACAGACCATCCAGTGCCCTCTACTTACAAAGCTTAACATTGTGCCAGCTGGTAAGAGAAATGCTCCTGTAACAGAAGCAGGGTAGTAAAGAGTGATTTGGGAACAATTAGTAAATGGTTCAACCATTATAACAAGTTTTCCCAACTGTCTTATTAAACTCTGTTCTCAAAATAGGTACATCACACAAAAGTATTCTGGAATTAGATACGTTTGGGAATACATACACTGTTATACCCAAGTTAGAAATTCATCACACGTTAGCCTAAGAAATCCTTTAGTAAAGAAAACTATTTTAAATTTTTTAAGTTTGGACATGAAACTTTTCTGCTGGAAGACCTGTTAATATATTTCAGGGGTGTAGTATTATACAGGATACAATTCTAAAGACACTTCCCCCAAAATTAGAGTTAAAATAAAAATGCCCAATATCACAGTTGTTATTTAGCATAGTTCTCTGAAATTACTGGCCATTGCATTAAGAAATAGAATTTGAGGTATAATTTTTGTAAAAAAGAAGACAGTATCATTTCTAGCTAGTAATGGTGGTCGCTTATTAATCCCCAGAAATAATATGAAAGACTATAGAACTAAAAAAGTAAGTTCAGTGGGACGACTGATTAAAAGTAATTAATTAATATCTCAGTAGCATTCTGTAATCCCAAGAATGACAGTATGAAAATTATTATTAGAAAAGGGATCTTTTTATGATTGTAGTGTAAAATGTAAAAATACCTAGAAATAAGCTTAAAATATACAAGACTTATGTGAGGAAAAGTTTAAAGCTTTCCTGAACCAGTTTAGTTGCAAAAGAAGTCTTGAATAAGTGGAAAGACCTACTACATTCATGAATATTATAAACATGTTAATTCTTGAAAAATTAATTCTAAATTTAACATAATTCTTCTTGCAGAGCATCAAAGGATATTAGAACTTGACCCCAGAAAACTGACTTAGGAACAGGACAGTTCTTGAATAGTGATAGCCAAAAATACATGGGGAACATGTCCATTCTCACTAGTAAACTACCAAATAAGACGAGATTTTTTTTTTCCAAATACTAAGTGATAAAGATTAAAAAGAATATTCAATGTTGTCAATAATAGGGGGAAAGTGTACTCTTATGTTCCTGAGAATATGAAAAAACAATCATTCTAGAGGGGATTTTTAAAAATATGAATAAAAATCCTTAACTTGTTTTACTATTTGATATAGCATATCAGGGATGCCTGGGTGACTCAGTCAGTTAAACATCTGACTCTTGATCTCAGCTTAGGTCTTGATCTCAGGCTCATTAGTTTAAGCCCTGTATTGGGCTTCACACGAGGTGTGGAGCCTACTTAAAAAATTTAAAAATTTAGAGTGCCTGAGTGTCTCTTAATTTTGGCTCAGGTCATGATCTTGTGGTTTGTGAGTTTGAGTGCTGTATCAGGTTCTGTGCTGATGGCACGGAGCCTGTTTGGGGTTCTCTTTTCTCTCTGTGTCCCTCCCCTGCTCTCACACATGTGCACATGCTCTCTCTCAAAATAAACATTAAATAAATGGAAAAATTAACATATGTTCTTATATTATTCTTAGTTCATATTATTGATACTTGACAGCTCTGTAAAATTAAAGGTAAATTTATATGTAACTGATTAAAATACAGGGTTTTTTTTAAAAAGTTTGTTGCATCTTTATCCCCCCCAGAAAATATTATCTATAATGTTACTGTAACATTATATATAGTAGTATAACATTAGAAATAAGTGAAGTGAGGGGCACCCGGTTGGCTTAGTTGATTAAGCATCTGACTTTGGCTCAGGTCATGATCTCAAGGTTTGTGATTTTGAGCTCTACATCAGGCTCTGTGGTGACAGCTCAGAACCTGGAGCCTGCTTCAGATTCTGTGTCTCCCTCTGCCCCTCCCTCCCTCTCTCTCTCTCTCTCGCTCTCGCTCTCGCTCTTGCTCTCTCAAAAATAAGCATTTAAAAAAATTTTAAACGAAGTAAGTGATCATTGTGAGGTTGGTTGGATCAAATATGGCACATTAAAAAATGATACAGTGAGGGACATCTGGCTGGCTCATTGTGTAGAACATGTGACTTTTCATGAGTTCAAGCCCCACGTTGGGCATGGAGCCTTCTTTAAATAAAAAAGCAGTAATAATACAATGGAAGAATATCAAAGACATGGGATAATATTCGCAATACAGTGTTAATACAGCCTATAAGATAGTACATAGACTATGAAATGTGGTTGCCAGGAAGATTGACTCAGTGCACCTTCTAGGCACTTGGTACTACACAATTGTGAATTACCTCTGTGATAGTCTTTTGAATTGTTTAAAAATAGTTGAAACTAAAAATGTTAACTTTTTAAATGTGTAGGAGTAAAAGACTAGAAAGACATATAATGTTAGTGGTTATCCCAGGATGATGAGATAATGGGTAACTTATTTTCATTTGTATTTTATGTTTCTAAGATTTCTGCAGTGAGCATGTTTGTTCATAATTAGAAAATATTTAAATAGATAAGATACACAATAGAAAGGCAAAGGCAAGTTGTGTCACATGCCACAGAGATTAAAATGTTTATTGGAGCTCAGCTGGGATTTTAGCAAAAGCAATTTAAATACAGTAGGAATGAAAATAAGCCAAATTGCAACATAGTAAATTGGATATGAGATAGTGATCCCCTCAAGATCAGTGTCCTTCAGTAGAAATAAACTGTGAGCTACAACTGAATAATATATTTTAACCTAATTTACCCAAAATACTATTGCAGTATATAATTAATACAAGGTTGGGTCGCCTGGGTGGCTCAGTCGGTTGGGCATCCGGCTTCAGCTCAAGTCATGATCTCTTGGTTCGTGGGGTTTGAGCCCCACGTCAGGCTCTTTGCTGACAGCTAGCTCAGAGCCTGGAGCCTGTTTTGGATTCTGTGTCTCCCTTTCTCTCTGACCCTCCCCTGCTTATGCTGTCTCTCTCTCTCTCTCTCTCTCTCCCCCCCTCTCTCACAGAAATAAATTTTAAAAAAACATTAAAAAAATGAATACAAGGTTATTAATGAAGTATTGTACTTTTTGTTATATCTTAATTTAGACTAGTCATATCTTAGGCACTCAGTAGTTACATGTTGTTAGTGAACACATTGCACAGGGAAAGTTGTTCATTGAGAAACTAATGCAAGAGAGAGGTTAGTTATAGGGAAAACATGAGAATCCTATAGTCCTTTGTAGTCCATTACAGGAATAAAACCCTTTGTGGTGCAGTTTATTGCCCTTTAAAAATGAAGTATTTTATGTAACACGTGTAAATACATGAAAATAACAGAATTATATAATATTAATATAAGAAATATTATATGAGTAATAATAAATAAAATATATAATACTCCTACCTTCCGCCCTGCTAAGAAATAGAATACCGTATGACCTGTGTGCCCTTTAGTTGCATTCTTAGACAGATCTCTTTTTGTCTTTTTTTAAACCTCCTATAGGTTTTGGCAAGAATAGTGTGAGCCGGAGAGGAAGAGTAATGCCTGGAAAGAGACGTCCTTATGGAGTTATTACTGGCCTTGCAGCTAGGAAAGCAACTGGAATTCGAAAAGGAATTAGTCCTATGAATCGACCACCTCTGAGTGACAAGGTAGGATGATGGCTTAATCATACATCAGATACTCTTTTCCATTAGTTGTACTAATATTTCTGTGAATGAGTACAATATTCTCATTGAGAAGCATTTTATTTCTGTATTTTGATTTTTTTTATGTAGTATGTTGGGTCTTCTGTAAAATAAAAAAATGACCTATTCATGAAGAATACCTAAATATCCACATTCTTAAATAAAATTTATGTAAAATATTTTTATAAGTTTTTTATTTTCTTTATGTATGTACAACATTGACAAATTATTAAGGTATAATTCTATACTATAAAATTCATCTTTTTAAGTGTACAATTCAGTGAATTTTAGACAATTTACAGAGTTGTACAATCATCATAGCAATCTAATCTTAGAACAGTTCTATCACTATAGTCATACCTTATCATCTACCTCAGGTAACAACTAACTTTCTGTGAATTTTCTATAAATTTGTTTTTTCTGCACATTTCATGTAAATAGAATCATATGATAATATGAGGTCTGGCATTTATTATGATGTTTTTGAGGTGGTCATGTTGTATATGTATCAGTATTTGATTCTTTTTTATTACTGAATAATATTCCATTATATGGATATACCACACTTTGATTCACCAGTGTGAGACATTTTGGTTATTCCCACTTTTTGGATATTATGAATAATGTTGCTGTGAATGGCAGTAAGTAAGTTTGTATGAGCAGACATTTTTTTGTCTTAGATATCTATTTTTAATTAGAGTGCAGTCATTTACCCAATGTGAGTTAACTACTTTTCAGATTTTAATGAACTTTTATTTAGTTCTCAGCGAGTATTTTTGAATTGGCTAAAGTGTTTCTTCAAATAGTTTCACAACTATTTAAATAGTCTTTTTTCCTGATTTTTAGGTTTACTATAGTAGGCCTGAGGCACCAAGGAATTTAATGTTCTACTCTTCTGTTTTTTAGTCTTTTTGGTTCTCTAATTTATGCAAAAACTACATACTTGTAAAAAAAATTCAGGATTTCATTCTTTAAATTCTTTTTTTAAAAAATATTTAATTTTGAGAGAGAGAAAGGGAGTGAGTGAGTGTGAGTGAGCAGGGGAGGGGCAGAGAGAGAGAAAGGGAGACACAGTCCAAAGCAGGCTCCAGGCTTTGAGCTGTCGGCACAGAGTCCATTACTAGGCCCAAACCCATGATCCATGAGATCATGACCTGAGCCAAAGTTGGATGCTTAACCAACTGAGCCACCAAGGTGCCCCTCTTCAAATTATCTTTAATGTGCATCTTCTGGTTAAGAACCACAACTGTCTTAGATCCCTTAACTTCAATTTTGCCACCATCAACAATTGATTTCACCTCTAAAACTTTATCACAGAAGTTAACTATTTATTGGAAATTGGAAAACAGGAAGAAATACAGATACTGGGAGGGTGATTGGATTTAAGTGCTATCTTATTACTTGATCCAGTAAAAATATTAAATTACCACACATGGTAGTCTTTTGAGTTGTTTGAAAATAATGAAAATTTAAAATGTTAATTATAGAATGCTCAGAATGTACTGAATAGTAAGATCCACATATTCAAAGTTGAATGATTTTGACAGAGGTAGGGTTAGAAAAGTGTTGGTTCTTAAAATTCTTTCCTCATTCTGAATGTAGATTAATAGTCTGACTAGGACAAAATATAGTACTTTTGAAGCAGCTTATTTTCCAGCAATTTAGAAACTTTATTTAAATATAAATAACTCATATTATTTTCTGTTCATTAAAAAATTTACCTAAATAATTTAATTGGTTTTGAATTGTTACATGTACTTAGAAATTCTACACCTTAAAAAGTTTTCACCATAATTAGATGTTGTTACTTTATCTCTCATGTTTCACAGTTCATGTGAATTAGTGAGATTTTATTTCAATAAAAATATACATTTTCTGACCTATGAAGTGAATGACTAAATGGGAAAGATGGCATATTCATTTATATAACTAGTATTTACTGAGAGCACATGGGGGCTGTACCAACAGAAGAATGGTTGTCTCTACGAATGAATTTTCATTTTGTTTAGAGACAGCTTACAATACCTGTCAGGTAAAAGTTGTGTTTAGGTTCTTTTTTTTGTTTAATGTTTACTTATTTATATTTTTGAGAGTGCATGTGTGCAGAACGGGGAGGGGAGCAGAGAGATGGAGGGAGAGAGTCACAGGTAGGCTCCATGCTGTCAGCTCAGAGCCTAATGATATGGGGCTTGATCTCATGAACCATGAGATCATGACCTGAACCAAAATCAAGAGTTGGATGCCCAACCGACTGAGCCACCCAGGTGCCCCAGTGTTACGTTTTTAAAGGATTTTTCGAGTGGCATATATAAATTCATCAGTGTCAATTAAATAATAATTATTTTTCTTTTAGATTCAGAATTTCCCAAACTTGAGAGTATGTTATGTTCCATAGAATTTTTGACTTGACTTTGGTAATACTAAACCATTTAATACTTCTGTGAACTTAAAAAAATTTTGTTGTTGCTGCATAACAGTTGTTTTCCACTAATGGGTAGGTTTTTTTCTTTTTTTTTTTTTTAAGTTTATTTATTTGAGAGAGATAGGGGAAGGGCAGAGTGAGAGGGAGAGAGAGAATCCTCAGCAAGCCCTGTGCTGTCGTTGCGGCCCCACCACTCTAACTCACAAACCATGAGATCATGACCTGAGCCAAAACCAAGAGTTGAACCCTTAGCCAACTGAGCCACCCAGGTGTCCCTCCTGGGTAGTTTTAATCATTTGTCTGATTTTAACAATGAAAATAAATGTCTTCATACTATGGAATTTTATTCAGCGTAAAAAAGGAATAAATTAATATATAAGTCAGCATGAATACACCTCAAAACATCATAGTAAGCAAAAGGAAAACATAATGCTACGTTCTGTGTGATTCCATTTATTTGAAATTATAGAAAAATCTAAACTATAGTGAGAGATCAGTTGGTTATTGCCTGGGGTGGGAGTCAGGCAAGGTAAAGGAATTGACTGCAGAGGGTCACAAGGAATGTTTTAGGATGAGGACACTGTTGTGTATCTTTATTATGATGTGGTTACATGATTCATTACTCAAAGTCATCAAATTGTAAACTTAAAATTTTATTTTTTGTAAATAATGCTTCAGTAAAATTAATAAAAAAATACTTCAAGTATTTTATGCATATAAAATTTCATTTTGTTTCTGTATTTTAAATATTTAAAATTTTAAGTATTTAAAATACTTCAAGTACTTTATATATATAATACTTCAAATACCTCAAGAAATAATTTTTTAGGGGCACCTGGGTGGCTCAGTCAGTTAAGCATCCAACTTTGGCTCAGTCATGATCTCATGGTTTGGGAGTTTGACCCTTGCATTGTGCTCTGTTCTGACTGCTTGTGACCACTCAGATACCCTGGAGCCTGCTTCAGATTCTGTGTCTCTCTCTGTCCCTCCCCTGCTTGCAGTCTCTCTTTGTCTCCCAAAAATAAACATTAAAAAAATAATTTATATCAAAATTATTGTGAAAGAATAACTTTTCCATACGTGTATTTTTTTTTAATGTTTGTTTATTTTTGAGAGAGAGAGAGAGCGCACACACATGAGCTGGGGAGGGTGCAGAGAAAGAGGGAGAATCCCAAGCAGGCTTTATACTGTCAGCTCAGAGCCCGACGTGGGGCTCAGACTCATAAATCATGAGATCATGACCTGAGCTGAAACCAAGAGCCAGACACTTAGCCAACTGAGCCACCCAGGGGCCTCCCCCGTATTCTTTTTAAAGCATATTTATACATATATAGTAACTTTAGATTCATGGAATAATACATTCACCGTGTATTAATGAATTGTTACTCTAGTCTATGTATTCATCATTTAACTAATGTGATTGAGTACCCACTATATGCTAGATGCAAGGGATTCTGCAGTAACTCAATAGAAAATCCCTCATGGAGAATGGAGAATAAACATTATATAAATTATCCCACAAATAACTATATGGTTATAGCATGGCAGGTAGTTTGAAGGTAAAAAAACAGGTGACGACAACAACAACAGCATGGAAGGAATTTACATTTACCCGTAAAGTGATACTTAGTGTTATTATTAAAGACCGAATACAAAGCTTAGAATGGGCTATGAGTGATTTCATAGCATTTCTCCTATACTCCTGATACTCCTTATTTCAGTTTTTACATTACTTCTTTTCCAAATGTTCATGAAAATGAAGAGTTACAATTTTTGTGTTTTTTCTTGTTAATTGATATTTATGAATACTTCTCATATGCTTAAACAATATAAGGTAGTCATATTGCCAAGAACTTTTGAAAAAACTTCATGGAAAATACAGAAATCTGAATTAGGCTTTAATGCTAGATTGAATTTATATATGAGGAGGGAAGAAAAAGTGGACATTTCATATGCTTATTTTTTTTATTCCTTTTTTTCTCTGTAGCTCTTTTTACTCAGACTTTTTTGCTGTCATAACCTCCTCTTTTTCTCTCACATTTGTTTTAGAACTTGTCTCTCTCCCTCTTTTTTTTTTTTTAAGTTTATATTTATTTTGAGAGAGAGACTGCAAGCCTGTGAGTGGGGCAGGAGGAGAGAGGGAGAAAACAAATCCCAAGCAGGCTCCTTCCTATCAGCACAGAGCCTAACTTGGGGTTCCATCTCATGAACTGTGAGATCATGACCTGAGCTGAAATCAAGAGTTAGATGCTTAACCCAGTGAGCAACCCAGCCATCCCAGAACTTGGCCCTCTTATCCCTTCACTTGATAATCAAAAATCATGTTTAACTGATTTCCTGATTTACATTTCTGGTCCTCTGATTCTTCTCTTGAGCTCAAGGACTATGTTTCCCCATAACTGGTGAATCCCGCAGAGCACCTCAAACTGAACATATCCAAAATAGAAAAAATTCATTTTTCTATTTGAATTTCCTTTTGTTGCAAGTATTTTAAGTATAAGGAGGTTGCTGTCTTTTCAGTCACTTAGACTGGAAAGATTCGAGTCGTTTCAGCCTGTGTGTCAAATGTGTGCATCTAAGCAGTCTCCATTCTGCTTCAGAAATGTTTATTGTATGAGAAACAATGAAATCTGGCCATGTGTAGCAACATGGATGGACCTTGAGGGTGTTATGCTTAGCGAAATAAGTCAGGCAGAGAAGGACAAATATCACATGTTTGCACGTATAGGACGATTAGGAGGAACTTAACAGAGGACCATGGGGGAGATGAAGGGGGAAATGGTGGGGGAAAGGGAGAGAGGCAAACCGTGAGAGACTCTTGAATGCTGAGAAACAAACTGAGGACTGATGGATGTTGGGGGGAGGGGGGAGATGGGCATGGAGGAGGGCACTTGTTGGGATGAGCACTGGGTGTTATATGGAAACCAATTTGATAATAAACTATTTGTAAAAAATAAAAATAAATTAAAAAAAAGAAATGTTTATTGTAATAGAGTATATATCAAAAAGCAGTCGGATTAACACAGTTGTTTTTTGTTTGTTTTTTGTTTGTTTTTTTTGTTTTGTTTGTTTTGCATTCTGAAAGAATATAGAACGGTATTTTCCAGCATTAAAAAGGAAGGCCAACCTTCTGAGACAAAATGAAGTACAGAGAAAAGCAGTTGCAGTTCTTAAGAGACCTAACCAGCTAAATAGAAAGTAAGTACTCAAATACAATAAGCTATATTATCCTGAGTAAATAATGATAGATTTCTTGCACTGAGACCAAATGAATGGATTTGTAGTGGTCATTTTCAAGACAGATATTTGGGATGTCTATCTGAACATCCAACACAGAAGCACTGAGACCCTGTATTACTGATGATTTTAACAAATTGTAAACTTAAAAAAACAAAAGCATTGCCCTGCTTCTTTACCTCTGTTTACATATAGAATAAAATTACAAAAGGTGATTGTTCAGGTAAAAATACTTCCACCAGAATTATTCAAAATTGGGAATTCTGAAAGCTAAAATTGTTATTCAGTCTCAGTGATTTTTAATAGAATAATGTATTTGTGGAAAAAGAAAATTATAGAGAATTCTGTGTGGATGCTTTGTAAGCTGAAAATATATATTTTTTTAAGTTATCTCTTCACCCAACATGGGGGCTTGCACTCAAGACCCCATGATAAGAGTCCTCATGCTCTACCAATGAGCCAGTCAGGCACCCCATAGCTGAGTTTATGTTTATATTAAATTAAAGGCATAACAGAAACTCAAAAATCATGACCTATTCTTAAGGCATTGTTTTCTGTAAGAATAAAATGGGCAAAAAGGAAGTTGATAAACTGGTAAGTTTCCATATTATTTTAGTTTTGAGTACCATTTATTCATCTTTTATAGAAGATAATTCAAAAGAAAAAAACTCTGAAGTAAAGTTTTTGTATAAATGGAATAACTGCTGGAAACTAATTTGACAATAAACTATTTGTAAAAAAAAAACAATCTTCAGGCAATTCCTAAAAAAAAATAATAAAATAAATAAATAAATGGGATAGCTGGGATTGCAGTTTTACTTAACTGTCATCCTTCTTTCTTTTATAAATCTGGTATAGTATGTTTTGGGAATTGGGAAATTAGCAAATAAGAACTTGTCCATTACATTAATGACCTATGTTAATTAGGCTAGCTAGGGAAATTTTGCATTTGAGTCTAAGATTGGAGGTAAGATTAGGCGATCTGTTAAGTGTTTATAAAAAGTAAATAAATATGAAAATTGCTTTCTCATATTTTACTAACTTCATATAGAAATTAGAAAGGAGGGGCGCCTGGGTGGCTTAGTCGGTTAAGCGTCCGACTTTCACTTAGGTGAAATCAAATCAAATCAAATAGAGAAATAGAAATCAAATAGAGCTTTTAGAAAACTTGTGAAACCTTTAAAAACAATATTTTTCCTTTTCACATACTCTCGCGGTTCGTGGGTTCGAGCCCCGCGTCGGGCTCTGTGCTGACTGCCAGCTCAGAGCCTGGAGCCTGTTTCAGAGTCTGTCACTCCCTCTCTCTCTGACCCTCCCCTGCTCACACTGTCTCTCTCTCTCCTAGGAAAAAAAAAAAAAAAAATTAAAAAAAAAAAGAAAAAAGAAATTAGAAAGGAATTGGTGAAAGTCAAGTCAAACATAATTGAGAGTACATTGCTGTATGTGAAAGAATAAGCATTTGGAAGATTATACGTTTCTATGTGATTCATAGTAACATACAAAGGTTTCTGAGTGAGGATGAAAGAGAAAACCATAGAAGATGTTACTTTTCAAGATTTTCTCTTTACTTTTGGCTTTCAGTAGTTTGATTATGATGTACCTAGGTATGATTTTCTTTTTACTTACCCTGTAAATAAATCTGTACATATATGTTTTTCATCAAATTTAGGAAATAGCATTAAAATTGTTAATGTCTTTAGAAGAAATCTTCTATATTAGAATATTAGTGCAATATTTAGAAGATAATTAGTTCAGAATTAACTAGGTTGTTATGTAGTAAGCAACAGAAAGAGATATTTATAAATTGAATCACAATAGCTTTGAGTAAATAAGGAAATAATTCAGAGTCTTTAGTATACTTCGAATGTCTAACCTATGAATTTAACTATTTTTGCTAATTTTTCCCAGGATGTTTGAAAGTTGTTAAATGGCTGAGACTTTTCATAATATATGTGTTTTTGTTGTAGAAATAACATTCCAGCCAATTTTAGCAGGAGTGGAAATAAATTAAGTCATCAGAAAGATACTCGTCAGGCAACTTTTCTTTTCAGAAGAGGCCTAAAGGTATAAAAAACCCTTGCTGGTGGTTTCTTTTTACTCAAAGGATCTTGAACATCTACCTTTAGTGGTAATCCTCAATCATAGGCATAGCCCATGGTTGAGATAAGGTTTGGGTTTGGGATATGGAGAACGTGACATTAGATTAGTTCTTTTTGTTATTTATTTTTTCTGTTCTCCCTTTTGTTGTCGTCAGTAGCAACATCTTATGAGCTTAACATGTTATTTAGGAATAAATATGTTTTACCACTGTTCTGATAGAGAAACCCCAACTGAGGTATTGCCAGAATAGGAACATGCCTCTCTTGCATTCATCCACACACCATACTGGGTTATAAAGTTACAGAGCAGGGTTGTTTTTTAGATTCAAATCCTCTGCTTTCTATGGGATCTACTGCTTTTTTTTTCCCTTCAGGTTCAGGCCCAGTTGAACACAGAACAACTGCTAGACGATGTAGTAGCAAAGAGAACTCGTCAGTAAGTTTGAATTTGTTTTTCAAGATGTCATTTCAGAACTCCCAGAATACAGCAACCCCGATTACTGTGTGCCCCTGACTGAGGAATTAAATGAGACCCAAAATATATTAAGTATTGAGCCTGAAATAAATAAATCCATTTTCCCCCCAAAAAACCTTTTGCATTTCCACATGTCAGTGTTAATGAGTTTTAGCACGAAATACATCCCTTTATTTAAGAAAAAAAGTGGAGTATTCCATTTTAATGAAATAGCTTTTTATTTTCTATAACTGCTTTTATATAAATGAATGTATTCAGGGAACAAATAGAAATCAAATAGAGCTTTTAGAAAACTTGTGAAACCTTTAAAAACAAAATTTTTCCTTTTCACATACTTTTTTCCTTACCCCATAAAAGTTTTTTAAGAATATTTTTTTGTCAGAATTGCACTTCTCACATGTGAATTGTAACATTCTAATTCCATCAATATGATCAGGTTTTGAAATTAAACTATTTAAAACTATGACTACTTTTTAGAAAACAAAATGTGTAAAATAATGGTCCAGATATGCAAGCTAAAATTGGGCATGATTTTGAGCAGAATGTAAGAAGAGAAACTATTTGAACTTGATGTTGACAATATTCTTTTGCACAGGAGTCATGACACTGGAAACCCCAAGGAGAGAAATGATAAGCCATTTGCTTCTCCAGGGAACAATGTTTACATAATTGTAATATTATAAATACTGTTTGTCTTGAACTTTGAGAATCTATAGGAAACCCCCCCCCCAGATCCTTAATTTGGTAACAGAATATAGTGAAAATGTCAGATTTTAAGTAACATGAATGTACAAGTAGAGCTGACAAAAAATGGGAGGTACAAAGTGGGAGAAGAGTTGAAAGGAAGTAATAGAGGTACTACTCTCCTTTCATACAAAGTCAGAGAGAATGGTGTCAAGAGGTTGATAGAAGATTTAAGAGACTGAAAGATTTGGGGTGCCTGGGTGGCTGAGTTGGTTAAGTGTCTGACTTAGACTTAGGTCATGATCTCACGGTTTGTGAGTTAGAGCCCCGCATCAGGCTCTGGGCTGTCAGCACATGTGAGCCTGCTTCAGATTGTCTCCCTCTCCCTCAAAAATAAATAAATGTTAAAAACAATTTTTTTAAAAGAGATTGAAAGATTTATATTTAAAGTTATACTGGAAGTAAAATAGTGATATCGCTATCAAAGTGTTTAGAGGGAGGTAGGGAAACTAGAGTATAGTGTGATTAGGTAAAACCTTATGATAGCAAAGTATCATTACATACACATCTTGTATAGTGAACTGGAGGTAACTATCAAGCAGTTAAAACAAGAAAGGTTAAAAGTGCTGCCATTGGGGAGCAGGAAAGTTCTGCCACTGGGGAGTAGAGGTGGAACAAAATACTAGAAACTGTTACTTTTCATTAGAAGCCTTTCTGTAATTTATGTCTTTTAATGTATGTGTATTTGTTACATTGATAAAGTAATAAATTCAGGTGTCTAGTTCCTACATTCAACATGCTGATTTTATATATCCTGGTGGGGCTTAATATTTTTTAAAAGCTGAGAAAATGTAATGGTTACTTTAAAATGTATTTCTTACGTGGAATATACTATAGGATTTATAAACTTGCATTTTAATGAAGTTTTTGGTTTTTTGAAACTAGATGGCGGACTTCCACCACAAATGGAGGAATTTTGACTGTCTCCATTGACAATCCTGGAGCAGTGCAATGCCCAGTGTAAGTCCTTTTTATATTGTCAGAAATTACAACCTCTCAGTATATAAGGTAATAGAAAAACACTGGACTTCTCATGATGTCCAAGTTAAGATAAATTGAGACAAAGATAAAAGTAATACTTATGGTATAAAGTGGAAATACTATAGTATAAAGTTAAAAGTAAAAGCTCTCTTGGTTCCTGGTTCTATAGCCCCAAGGTAGCCATATTTTTATTTTAAAAAATTAGTACATATATAAGAAGTAATATATACATTTATTTTTTATGTATAATAACAAATGAGGGAATGCTACACATACTTGCTCCTTTTTCCTCCACCTCCTAATATAGTTTGGACATCTTTACTTTTAGGTACATACAGTTCTGCCTTCTTTTTATTTAAAAAAAAATTTTTTTTTTTAATGTTTTATTTATTTCCAGGAGAGAGAGAGAGAGAGACAGCGTGAGCAGGGGAGGGTCAGAGAGAGAGGGAGTCACAGACTGAAACAGGCTCCAGGCTCAGAGCTGGCAGTAAGCAAAAAGCCAAACGAAGGGCAAGAACCCACGAACAGCGAGATCATGACCTAAGTGAAAGTCGGACGCTTAACCAACTAAGCCACCCAGGCGCCCCTGTTCTGCCTTCTTTTTAAAGGCTTCGTAGTGTGTTCTTTTATCTGAATGACCTTAATTTAGTTAACCATTCCCTTATGTTTATTGCATTATAAACTTTCTAGGTTTTTGGAGTTTTTATTTTAATGAAATGATTTCCAGTCATTTTAGTAAATGAAATGAAGAAAACATAGGATGAGTCTCTTAAGACTTCAGAGGTTGCTTTATTTTAGTAGAAGATCAAGACTTGGAAGTCACCAATCATTCCAAATTATTGAAAACATTATAGTTCTACTTAAAGAAGTATTCTTGAGTGATCATAAATTTTAGTCTCTAGATGAGTCAGTCAAGAACCAGGAACATTAGTACCACCTTGTCTGTGATTTCACTTTTCATGGTTTCAGTTACCCAGTCAACCATGGTCTGAAAACATATGGTTCTCCTTCTGATGTATTGTCAGAAGGTCAGTAGTAGCCTAACACTACCTCACAATGTCTACATCATTCACCTCACTTTGTCTCATCATGTAGGTATTTTATCACATCATCACAAGAAAGAGGAATACAAGAACATATTTTGAGAGAGGACAGGAGAGAGACCACATTCACATAACTTTTATTACAGTATATCGTCAAAATTGTTCTATTTCACTATTATTGTTTAATAACTCATACTGTGCCTAATTAAAAAAAAATTAAACTTTAAAGGGGTCCCTAGGTGGTTCAGTCAGTTGGGTGGCTGACTTCAGCTCAGGTCATGATCACACAGCTTGTGAGTGTGTTTGAGCCCCACGTTGGGCTTTGTGTTGATAGCTCAGAGCCTGGATTCTGCTTCAGATTCTGTCTCCCTCTGTCTCTACCCCTTCCCCACTCACACTCTGTCTCTCTCTCTCTCAAAAATAAATAAACATTAAAAAAAATTAAACTTTATCATAGGTATGTATATATAGGAAAAGACATATAGTATGTGCAGGGTTCAGTGCTCTATGCAGCTTCAGGCATCCACTGGCAGGTGAGGGAGCAGTCTTGGAACATACGCCCATGGATAAGGGGAGACTGTAATACTTGTTTGAGAACACAAAATAGACTTGGTACATGGAACATGTGTACAAGTCAAGACGTTTTATGTACCAAATGATTTATTTTTCTTTTACTTATTAAGCTTATCTGATTTCATTTTAATTATTTTCTAATAGAACTCAGAAACCACTATTAACTCGTACTGCTGTACCCTCATTCTTAAAACGGGAGCAATCTGATGTAAAGAAAGTTCCTAAAGGTGTCCCTCTACAATTTGACATAAATAGTGTTGGAAAACAGGTAATTTTTTTTTTTGTTTCTTTGTGCCATTCATTGATAATATTTTAATTAATAAATAAAATGTGTAATGAATTAAACAGGGGGTATCTTAAGTCTCCTCAACCTTAGGAAACCACTGAACAATCTACTTTGTTTCTATAGATAAGCCTATTTTGGGCATTCATATGAATGGAAACATACAATATGTGATCTTTTGTGACTGGCTTTTTTTGCTTAGTATAGTATTTTTAAGGTTCATCTATAGTGGATCATCTTTTTATTGCTGAATAATGTTCCATCAATGGATATACCATAATTTATTTACTCATTTATCAGTTGATGGACATTTGGGCTGTTTCCATTCTTTCGTTATTGTGTATAAAGTTTCTCTGCATATTCATGTATGTTTTTTGTGTGAGTGTATGTTGCCATTTCTCTGGGTAAATACCTACAAGTGGAACTGGTAGGTCATACTCATAACTATGTTTAACCTCTTGAGAAAGTGCTAGACTTGTTTTCCAAAGTGACTGCACTGTTTACATTCCTTCCAGCATGTATAAAGAATTCTAAATTTCTCTAAATCCTCATCTACACTTGTTATTATCGGTCATTTGATTGTAGTCATCCAAGTGCTTGTGAAGTGGTATATCTCACTGTGGAGTGAATTCGACATTTTTTTAATATTGACCTTGTGTCTTGTGATCTTGCTAAAATTCACTTAACCACTTTTAGTAATTTTGTAGATTCCTTAAGATTTTTCTATGTAAACAATCATGTCATTCTCCATATCCCTTACCCTTCAGTACAATGTTGAATAGAAATGATGAGAACATGGTATGCTTGCCTTGTTCCCAAGCTTGAGGAAGAAGCATAAAATGTTTCACCATGGAGTATGATTTTATCAATGGATTTTTAGTAGATTCACAGGTTGGGGGAGTTCTCTTTATCCATAATTTGCTGAGAGTTTTTATCATGAATGGATGTTAGATTTTTGTTAAATGCTTTTTTTTTCATCCATTGATGTAAGAATGTGTGGAATTGAAAATATGAAGTATGGATAGAAATTTGACCAAATTTGTTTTGCTTCTTTTTATTTTATTTTGTCATGGTTACTTTTCTTTCAGAAATGGTGAAATAAAATTTGGTTAATCAAAAACCGGATTTTGATTTGAATTTTACTTGAATTTCTGTGGTGAACTCATAGAAATCCAAAAACTTACAGAAATTCAAGAAAGTTTGTTTCAAATATTCACAAGTATCAGTAACTCCTATGTTTATCAGAGACATCATTAGAATTTGTGGCAGTGTTTATAGAGCCTAAAAATAATTCAGATAGAGAAAATCTTGGATGTATGACTTTATGGGCATTATAGTTCTGTGTTTTATATAGTACTGTAGGCATTTAGAGTGGTTAGAAAATAGAGATTGTGAGTCAGACTCCCAGGTTTAAATTCTGGAGCTGCAAGTAGGCACGTTAACTAACTTCTCTAAACTTCACTAAGTTGACCTAATTTCGTATGGTTTTTGTTAGAGTTAAATGAGTTCGAACGCATAAATATTCAGGAAGTGTTAGCTGTTGTTACTTTGAATTACCATTATGATCACATTATTGTTCTAAGCAAATATGACTAACAGTCAAGTTGTTAATTTTTTTGTTTTGTTTTCTCTAGACAGGGATGACTTTGAATGAGCGATTTGGGATCCTGAAGGAACAAAGAGCCACCCTCTCATTCAACAAAGGAGGAAGCCGCTTTGTAACCGTGGGATAGATCCCATGTCAAAGGGACTTTTGAGTGATGACTCTGTTTTAAAAGTTGAATTGCTTGATGAGTTCATCACAGAAATTCAAGAAACTTTATTTCAAAATATTCACAAAGCTAAATAACTCTTATTTTTATTTTTGAGGTTTTTTTTTTTTTTAAACATGTATAAATAATACCCTGAAAGAATAACAGGGAATAATGCACCTATCTGTTCTTAAGATTTCATGGTTGGCTCAGACAGAACAATTCTCTATTTGACGTCTTTTGTCCTTCATGCAGCAGAAAGAAGACAGAAAGATAGAAATTGATTATTTTTATGACAGTGGTATTTAGGATCTTCATCACTTTTTTTATTTGCCATGTAAATTTTGGTCTTCAGAAATATGAGTAGGTCCCTTGGTTGCTGTCACCTATCCTTTAATAGTGTTGATGTAATAAGTGCAGTTGACTTTTCTTCATTAGCGATATTTAAAAAAAATCATTAGAATTTCAGTTTTGAGTTTTAAGATTTATGGGAATATCTGGAATTTGGTTCATTTTTCAGAAGACCTTAGGTTAATTCTCCAGAGTTATAAATCTTTAATATTGAACTTTTAACAAGAAATGTGACTTTAGGCATTAGTCTTTGTTTAAAATGTTGATGTTTAAAGGCTATAAATGTGTGTTTACAAAATTGTCTGATAGAACCTTGGAGAAGGTCCAATGTAAAAACCTAACAGTTGTATTTGGTAAATGAAGAAAGCAGGAGAGGAAGTAGCAGGTTGAGGTGAAAAACTTAAAAACCCAGGACATAGCTATACTGTGTGGATTTAGTGTAGGCTTGAATCTAGTGTCCATGAAGAATTCTTCAAATGATATTTAGAAAAATTATAATTATCAAAATAGATTGAGTCCTTTAGATATTTTGATGATAAAATCAACAGCCATAAAGTCCTAGACTTCTTATTCAAAAGTTAAATTTTATAAGCTTTTTAAGCTTGTTAATTTAACAGTATAAAGCTTCAAAATCAAAAATATACTTGTATATGTCACGAAGACAAAATGGCAATTGAGTTACATTGTAACTTTAGTTTATACCTTTCTTGTATAAAGTTCAGGCATTTATAGTGAGGGTTTTTTTTTTCCCTCCCACACTCTGGAGGAGTGGGAGGAATTAATCTGTTGTGCCAAGCTAGTGCTGAAAGTTTTCAGATGATTGTATACTATAAGTTACAGTATAATGCCAAAATGCAGCAAAATATTCCAGCTACAAGTTCAATCATTCTGAAGTTTAACCTTTTGGTTTGCTATAATGTTGAAACCTCTAAGTAGGTGTTAGTTTCCCTAGAGTGTATTGGTGTTAATTTTCCCTGTAAAACAAAACAAAACATTAAGTTATCACTCTTGCCTGCCTTGTATTGTATATTAGACTTCATTGTTTTCTCATGCATCTTGGGTTATTTGGTTTATGCTAGCCACAGAAAAGTATCAGCAGTTTCATGCTTATACCAAAGAATTAAATCTGATCCTTAATATCTGGTATTTTGCCAGTAAGTCTACTGATAAGGGATTATTGGAAGCCAGTCACACAATTTGAAAATAAGCTCTAGTCTCCTTAGGCCAAGGACTCATTGCAAAACATTTTTGCAAGTACAAATGCTTAGATTTCATCCATGAATCTTACATTTTATTTTAGACTGGTTTAGAATAACTGGTAGCTTATTTTAAAGCAAAGGAAAAATAACTGAGCACAAATTTGCTGTCTTTAGAACAGTTTGTGAAAATATGGTATAAAGAAGTTTTCATTTTTTTTATTTTAAATATTGTATGGAGCTATTATGCCATTTTTCTTGAAAACCTTAAAAATTGCCCCAAATATTGATGTTAATTGCATCAAACAACAAAATGTCTTTGGTATATTAAACTTTTGCTCTTCATGCATCTCTAATTTCATTTTCTTTTTAAATACAAAATTTTACCTTTGTTACAACTAAATTAAAATTCTTGAGTGCTAACATGTGTATAAACAAAAGAATATGCTTTGTCAGAGGAAAATTCCCTTTCTTGGAATATGGTTGTAGTCATCCTTTTTCAGTTCTTAAATTTTTAAAAAACAGGATACAACTTAAAATTTCCTTTGCATCAAGGTGTATGCAAAACATTGATGCAGTGCATCACAAAATGAGAGTTTGTATTTAATGAGGAGGTGCTTTACATTGTACTTTTTGGTGTTTTTTGGAAAAGTTACAAATTTAGATCTATTCTGAAGCTGTTCATTTTTAACAAATAAAATGTTACAGGTCTCACATTTATTCTTAGCTATAAAGATTGAATTGTGGTTTTTAGATATATGTTACAAAGAACTTTGTAGTAATTATGATTTTTAGGGTTTGAAAAACTACCTAACCAATCAAATTGGTAAATCAGTCTAGACGCATATTCTAACTGCCTTTTGACCATTTCATTCATGAGCTCCAACCAAGAAGTAAGTAGCCAGCAGGACTTAAAGACTCAGATTTACTTAGAGTGCAGAATTTCAAGCTAGGTGAGCTTTTCAACATCATCCATTTCAACTCCTTTCTATGTTTTAGAGGCTCAGCTTTTCAAGACTTGTATGTGGCAGTGTCACTTTTTGAGCCCAGGTCTTTTAATTCTCAGTTTAATTTAATTCTCGTAATAACCTGCTTCTGTGAATTGAACATCCACAGAGTGTAGTGGAATGATGTTTGGCTTGTCCAATATCTAAGAAGTGCTAATAGCAGTGCTATAGCATTTGTAATTTGTAGCATGGCAAGTAAATCTACTCTACCAGTGATAATTATTGAGATTTCATTACATCATTTTGTATTCAAGCTATGTAGACCTCTTAGAAAAGGCCAGTGTTCCTAATTGGACATTGTGCATTTTTTTCTTTTTCTTTTTTTTTTAATTTTTTGATGTTTTATTTCTGAGAGAGAGAGAGAGAGAGAGCGAGCGAGCGAGCGTGAAGCAGGAGAGGGTCAGAGAGAGAGTTTGACACAGATTCTGAAGCAGGCTCCAGGCTCTGAGCTGCCAGCACAGAGCTCGACATGGGGCTTGAACCCACGAACCATGAGATCATGACCTGAGCCAAAGTCAGACGCTCAACTGACTGAGACACGCAGCCGCCCCTATGTATTTTTTTTCTAACAGGCATAGATTTCATAATTTTAATGACATAAGCAGATCATAAAATACTTCCAAAGTGTGAAGAAACTTACAAGCTTCATTGCCCAGTGATTATTTTCTACTAGAATAGATATGTATATCTTATTTTGCTGTCAGTGGCTTTATAATTCAAACATTATACACAGTGTCAGAATAATTTTTAATTTTAATCACCTGGTGCTCATCAGGACAAGTGCATTCCTAAATGCCCATCAATTGTTTCACTCATCCCCCCACCCACCTTCCCTCTGGTAATCATCAGTTCTCTATAGTTAAGAGTATGTTTCTTGGTTTGTCACTTTTTTTCCCTTTGCACATTTGTTTCTTAGTGTGTTAAGGTAATTTTTGTCCTGATTTAGATTTACACAATAAGTAAGAGTGAGAAAACAATAGCTGACTTTGCACTACAGAGAATGAATACCATACGTTCTGAATACAGGCAGTATCAGGGCAGAAAATGATTCTTTTATTTCTGTTTAGTATATTTTTGAGCTTTCATCAGAATTATATGACCTCTATTGCCACCGTAAAAAAAATCAACACATGATTTAAGCTTATTTTAAAGTGAATTATTTTTATGTAGATTAATTTGTAGTTATTCCCCCTTTTTTTTTAATTTTTTTTTTTTAAATATTTTTATTTATTTATTTCTAGGAGAGAGAGAGACAGTGTGAGCATGGGAGGGTCAGAGAGAGAGGGAGACACAGACTCGGAAACAGGCTCCAGGCTCTGAGCTGGCAGTCAGCACAAAGCCCGACGCGGGGAACGAACCCACGAACTGCGAGATCATGACCCAAGCGAAAGTCGGACGCTTAACCGACTAAGCCACCCAGGCGCCCCAGTTATTCCTCTTTTTAAAAATGATACCAACAAGCCCCAAGCATCAACAATAAGGATTTTGAACTGTTGTCGGCCATTGTTAGGGAGTTAAAGATTTTCTTATAAATTAAATGACTTCTAATTTTTTTTCCCACTTGCCATTATGTTACTTCTATCAAGTACAAAAAGCTTGATGAAACAAGGAAATGTGTAATGCTGTCTTGGAGCTGAAATTCATTGTTTTGAGTTGTATTTCAGAAGAGGTTTACTGATGTTTAAAGATGAATAGGAAATTATTTCCATAGTGTGGAGGTCTCTAATTTCTACTTCTATTTCTACTTTCCTTTAGTGAGAAGAAAATCCTATTGTCTGCTTATTAAATGAATCAGAGAAGGAGCAAACATTTACTGAATATATTCAACAAGCTAGTTTTTGTGCTTTACATTTGAAGAGTATAGGATTAGTGAAGATTTTAATCCCATTGCTTTTGAGTTTATAAAAATGGAGTTCTTAAAGCAGTGACCAGAACATATTTCTAGTGAGTGGATGAAGAGGGAAAGGACTTTATTTCTCCATGCGGTAGTGAGATACAGAGCTGGAAAACTTGAGATTTGAGTGAATATTTTGCCCCTGGAATTCATTCAATAAGTTAACTTTCAGCTGTAAAATAAACAGGAAGAAGCAAGGAAGTTCTCTATTATCAATTCCTAACATTCAATAACCCTCACTATCAATTTTTTTCAGCTCTTGCTTCTAGACCACAGAGCAGTTGTAGAATAAATTATAGGTCTCTATAGCCCTTTTTCTCATAGTGTTTTTGTACCTGTTTCTCATTATTCATTGCTAGACACTGGTGAAATCCTTACAGTGATTCCATTTCCTGTATACCATTCTCACAAGATGACCTTGTCACTTGTTTTATGGAGATTGAGGGAGTAGGATGAGAATTCCCTTATATTCTACCTTTGCAGATCAGAGCTCAAATCCTTAGAAGTCTTATCTCATTGCTTTACCTTTACTTACAGTCTCTCTTTACCTAGGACTTGTTCTCATATATATTTCTCATTTCCACAGGCTTTTCTTTTGGACTTCAAACACCTATAGATTTATCTACCCTGTTCTCCATTTTTTCCCCCTCTCCCAGCTTTCTCTCTTGTATTAATACATCTGCTATATTAGTATATAACCCATCTTCTGTCTCTGTGTCCACTCATCCTTACTTAGTTCCTATTAAGATACTGAACTCTGGGGTATGGAAGAAAATTATAGAGTTTAACATAAGGACCTTAAAATCTAGTTGAATGGACAAGGCAATGGCAACCTATAAACTTGGTCAGAAGTTCAGAGACCATGATTAGTATGTTACGTTGCAATTATAATGAGGTACTTGTATAGATAGATAGGAAGAATGAGGCTGTATTATGGAGAACTTGTTAGAAGAATTTAGTGTAAATAGTGGAAGGTAATAGGTAATCAAATTCAGGTGACAATGGTGCATTTTATAAAGATATCTGGTAGCTAGCATAGTAGTGTTAATATGGAATATATGATTATGCTTTTAGTCGCTGTAGTTGAAATATTTCTTTAAAAAAAAAACGAGGTCCTGCCCTTTTAAATAGCTTAAAATCTAAGAACAAAACAATTTTAGATCAGAATAACAAAAAACAGTTTGTATGTTGGATAAATGTTTTTTGAGCTGACAAATATATCACTCGCCATTGCAATGACCCATGCTCATAACAGACCTTGATACTGATGATCAGTCATGGAGCTTGCTGTTGAAGAACCTGGAATGTAAGAATTCATAGAACAACTCTCTGAGCATCTGTTACTAATCAGCTTTGTCACTGAGATTAAACATTTTCACAACCTCTTCCATCTGGGAGTTGGGGGAAGTGCTAATCAGAGTTTGAAGGGTTAGGCTTTGAATGATGGATAGGCTCTCCAAACCTTATTTTCTTTTGCTGTCTCTTGAACTTTTTGGCTTGTGGCCTAAAATATTCACATGTACCATTATAAATCATACCTGGGTGTGTTCATATTGATACTCCTCCCGGTCTAGAATATTGCTTTCACCTTCCTACTGTTGCCTATTTCATAGCCTTCCATATTTTATCCAAAATTTCATTCATTCATGATGCAGATTCCATTTCTTTGTATTCGCATGGATTAACCTGGCTTCCCCTATTCAGCCCCTTTTTTGTGTTGTCCTACTATTATAGGTATGTTTGTCTGAATTCTATAATTAGATTGTAATCTCCTAGGAAAAGAGCGCTAACAGCCTCTTATTTCCCACAAATACTGGTTGGTTGTAGGGGAAATTTACATTAATGTAGCAGCAATGGCTTAAATGTGTAAAAGAATATGCTGGAGACTGGTTGCAATGTAAATGAGGCCTAATTCGTTTAAAGTGAAGTGATATTTTCCAGTTTTTCAATAATGATTTTGGGTTTTATCATTTCTTCCATTTTACCTCTAATTCCCACATTAATCTTAGATTATGGTCAGATTATCTCCCACCCCCCACCCCCGCCTCACTTTTGGTTCTAGACAAAAATTTAGACTTTAATGCCATTCATCCTGATTTGTTCAACAATAAAATCTTGCCTAAAGGACAAATATTATTTAACATGTTTGTTTCATTTTTGTTAAGAGCTATTTTTTATAAAAAGGAAAGAGGGCCCTAAACATTTATATACCCTTTGAATGAGGATTATGGAATTTGGGGGGCCAGGTTAGCATTTATTTTCTCCGAAAATAACAGTTAACAACATATCTGCATCTGAATCACTTGGTGTATAGAATGACAGAGTTGGGAAAATGTTTCCGTCGTATCCCAGGGTCCCCTCCTCTGGTAGCAACAGTGATAAGCCTTAATTTAATGCTTAATCGAACCCTTCAGTATTGGAGGAAGGCACGGAAGTTTTTGTGGAGAACATTGAAAGATATTTTTGTAGAGGCATTTTTAAAATGGTACTGGGAGCCTATAGTAGGGGATGCTCCAGATTGTGAGTTTTGATTTCCCTTGAAAACCTCGATGTAGGCCGGGGCAAACGCCTGGGTGTGCGGAGGGCCACTGCCGCCCAGCCCGTCAGGAGAGCCGTCCGGGGTCTGTTTGCCCCTTTCCCCGCCCACCCATCAGTTCTGGCGGCGCATGCGCTGAGCCGTGGGCCGGAGAGTTGTCGGCTGGGAAATGGCGGCCGCAGGCTTGGTCGCTGTGGCCACGGCTGCAGAGTACTCTGGTCCAGTGGCATCGGGAGGTAACCTCTCCGGTGTTAACTGTGGGCCAAGCTCCGGAGCAGGCCCTGGTTCTGGCCCGGGTTCGTGGAGCCGCTCCCTCGATCGAGCGCTGGAGGAGGCGGCTGTGACCGGGGTGCTGAGCCTGAGCGGCCGGAAACTGAGGGAGTTTCCCCGGGGAGCGGCCAACCATGACCTGACGGACACCACCCGGGCGGGTGAGTAGGGCACGGGGCATCCCTGCCAACCAGGGGCCTGGAACGCGGCGGGAGACAGCTCCAGCCGGTGGGAGGATTCGGGGGGTAGTTACAGCTACCGGTCCCATAGCGCCTGGTTGGGACCCGACTAACGGGGAGAAGCGGACTGCTCGGACCCACCCAGCCCCCTCCGGCCTGCGGGCCAGACCCCTAGCCTGGGGTGAGGCGGCAGACTGCTGCATCTCTCGGGGAAGGGGACCGTAGGGATAGACAGAGGGTGTTTTTCTCTGCTATAAAATTAATCTATGCTGCTACTGAAGTCGACCCTTGCCCCGCCCCGGTTTCTGCAGGCCCTTTCGAATTTGGGATGCCAGATTGACTATGCTAAGATTTGGGATTGTAGAGCGCCCTTAGTATTTCAGAACATTGGCCACTGCGTTGTTGGGGAAGCATTGATCTGACGACTGACGTTTCTTCAGAGTTGTTTTTAATGTGAGCCCTAAGGCTGTAACTTTTCTTTCTCCACCTTTATCTAGTTGACTTACCAAACGTACTTGTAGCAGTAACTAGAGCCAACCTTCAGACTTCCATCACATTTCTCATGCCCTCCCTGAAAAGTTGAGAGAAGAAAAGATACATAGATTGCCTACCCTATCTGTACTTAACGCTTTTCAAAAATGAACATTGCTTTGTACATATTTTTGAACACAGGAAAGGTAATAAGGAATTGGGTATTATTTGGTTTTCTCAATTGTAGAGAACAATGTCTGGTGACTGAGGCACTCAACATAATATGCTTTTCTTGTGTTTAAAATATAGCTTCCTTAGGGAGTAGATTAAAAACCGAGTCTATTCATGTTTTACACAAAGGAGGAAAAAAAATCCCCTACACAGGTTTGTGTAGTATGATATAGTTAAGTATTTTATTTAGATATAGTTTTTTTTTGCAACGAAAGAATGTGTAGTACTTTGTGTTTTAATTTATTCCATTTTATTTGATTTTAAAGTCTTTGATTTAGTAATTTTCTATGTGCACTCATTAAAGATTGATGGGTATTAACATATGATTCACTTGTTAGAAAAATAAACAGAACTGTTAAACTACTTCAAGAAACTGCTTTCCGGAGAAACTTTCACTCTAGTGTAAAATGGAAGAAATTAAATGTCTAATTATTTAATCTCTTTTGGGAACAGTGGTACTGAAGATAGTTTGTATTTTTAGTGGATGTTATTAAAATTAAACTTTCTTGCTAAGGTAAATATGAACAGCCACTTCCCTTCTGCATATGTTCTGATAGACAACATCCAAAATTGTTCATAGCCCAAATTACCTGATTCTGTTCAGGAGATGGCTATATGGCATATGATTATTTCAGAGATGGGTAATATAGCAATTTTATATTGGTGTGAGTCATTTCAGTATTACTACATTAAGCACGAAGCTAAAGAACAAGTTGGTTACAGGTGTTTATTTCATTTATTATCTGCTTTTAAATAATTATAGGACCAACATGTTTTGCTTTTAAGAAATATTTTATTAATTAACAAAGAAAACCCAAAGGCATTTTTGAAGAAAAAGAACTAATACCAATAAATTTTTTCCTTACTGTGCTCTGAATTATTTTATTTAAAAAAAATTTTTTTTGTTTTGTTTTTTGGTTTTTTTTAGTGTTTATTTATTTTGAGAGAGAAAGCAGGCAAACAGGGTAGGGGCAGACAGAATCCCAAGCAGGCTCTGTACTATCAGCACAGAGCCCAAAGTTGGGTTCGATCCCACAAACTGTGAGATCATGACCTGAGCTGAAATCAAGAGTCAGACATTCAGCCAACTGAGCCACTCAGACACCCCTAAAGATTTTATTTTTGAATAACCTCTATACCCAATGTGGAGCTCAAACTCACAACCTTGAGATCAAGAGTCACATGCTCTTCTGTTCTCCTGGCTGAGCCATGAGGCACCCGTCTAAGTTATTTTAAATGGATAATTTAATGCAGATTTCATCATTTATTGAATACACACTGTTTGCTGTTCATTGTGTTAGGTGTTTTAAAATACATTGCCTTGTTAAATGCTCAGAACAACCAATGGACTAAGCATTATTATCCCCACTTTATATGTGAGGAAGCCTTCAGAATTTACAGATGAGGAATCACTCAGAGAAGGTCCTATAATTGGTATTGGTGGTAGAATTTCAGCCCAGGTCCATCTAACTCTTTTCCTTTCTGCTATACCACACAGCCTTCCTATGTACAGATAGATATTACTATTCCTGTTTTTAGATAGTGAAATCAAGATTTGGAGATACCAGATAATTTGCTCAAAGACCTGTAGTTAAAGGCCAGGGAAGGCAATGTTAGCCAGGATTTGAGCCTACTTTGAGAGAACTCCAAAACTATAGTGTAGCTCTTATATCAGGTACTTTGATGGATTCAGACACAACTTTTGTTAACTAAAATGTTTTGTTAAGACTCTTTAAAATCTAAAGCCAGAAAAATTATTTGAATACTATATATACAGTATATATACGTCAAAGTTGTCATGTAGTCTGTTTTCTCATAACGTATAGTATCTGGTAGAACTACTATCCTTCAAGAGTTTATATTCTAAGAAACAGCAAATATTTCCCATACTACTTATAATTTGACATGATTAGAATTAATTAGCAACATTTTCTTGACGCTTTTCACTCTTATTTAAAAAAGTAGATTTTTTATGAAAAGGGAAATATTTATTTGGGAACAGATAATTTGATCCAGTGGACAACGAAAACCTTAGAAGGAAATCACAGAAGACTTCTTGGGGCAGAAAGGTTGGAAAGGATTTGCATAGGCAAAAATGAGAAGGAAAAACCAATTCCAGGCCGTGGTGGACAGCATGCAAAAATTCCTGGAGTATATGACATATCAGTTAATTTTGCCAGACCATTATACAACACCCTTTCATCTGATTTACAGTACTCCTGTTTTCCTAGGAAATCACTCCTCTCAGTTTCATGAATATCCTAGCCCAGCATAAGGGTGTGCACGTGACTAAGGCCAGACCTAGCTAATCAATGTAGTCCATCCTTCTGGCTACAGTGATTGCTCAGAGATAGAGACATTTTCCAGTGAGCACACATGACTGTTAATTCTGATTTTTTTTTATTGGAACTATTGAGAAAGAGGCATGATTTGGACCCTGGGATTGCTGAGAGAATAGAATGTGAGCCTGAAGCTTACTAATAAATGGAAGGCAGAGCCAAAAGATAGAAAGTGAGACCAAGTTCTGATGATAGTGTTTGAACCTTTGGTTTAATAGCCAGGCCTTAAGATAGTGCTGTCCTTGGATAACAAGTTAATAAATTCCCTTTTCTGCTTGATTTGAGCAGAATTTTTTGTTTCAAAATCAAGAGTCCTGACTAATACAGTAGTACTGCTTGTGATAATGTGGTCAGGTCAGTTTGGTCAGAAGAAATGATTGGACTAGAGAATATATGAGCTACCCTTTGCATATGTGGAAGCTAGATTGAGGATAGATTTATTGAGTTTGAGACAGGGAGACTAATCAGCATTCATTAATTCAACAGACATTTGCTAAGGAATTTTGTAAGTGCATATACATAGAGAGGACCAACACACTTTCTGTCCTCAAAGAATTCAAGGGATCTAATGGAGGAATAAATAAATGTGAAGATTATTTGACTTGTCTAGTAAGAGCAAAACTTTTATGTATAAGACATTATACTAACTATAATATAAAGGAAACAAAAATAAGAGGCTTTACCCTGTAAGAATTAAAAAACCCTAGTAATCTAGTTGGGTGACTACAATAATCTAAATCTCTGATAGAATGAAAAATAGATGTCATATTGGAAAATGAAAATGTACAAATACTGATTGAATGTATATATTTTAAAAAAGGACAGAAGGGGGCGCCTGGGTGGCTCAGTTGGTTGAGCTCTGACTTCAGCTCAGGTCATGATCTCACAGTTCGTGGGTTCGAGCCCCGCATCGGGCTCTGTGCTGCCAGCTAGCTCAGAGCCTGGAGCCTGTTTCGTATTCTGCATCTCCCTCTCTCTCTGACCCTCCCCTGCACACACTGCCTCTCTCTCTCTCTCTCTCTCTCTCGCTCTCTCACGCGCTCTCTCTCTCTGTCTCAGAAATAAATAAAACATTAAAAAAATTAAAAAAAAAAAGGACAGAAGGCATCAAAGATGACTTAGCTGTTAAATCTGGAGTATTAGGAAGATGGTGATGCTATTGATAATAATAATAGGTAACATTTATTGAACTGTTAGTATATTTCAAGTATTGTCTGAGCTGTATATTATAAAACATGCATTTACAACAACAATATGAATTGTAAGTGTATTTTAACCCCATTTTACACATGAAAAAGTGGAAACATTAATTTGATCAAGGTTACATAGCTAGTGACAATTGGGATTCAAATTCAGATACATCTAATCCTAAAACTTGTGTTTTTAATCAGTAAGCCATACTGACAAAGAAGTTTGCCAAACATAATTTTGGTTTGTTTGATACTTTTTTTAAAAAATATTTTTATTTATTTCTAGGAGAGAGAGAGAGAGACAGCGTGAGCAGGGGAGGGTCAGAGAGAGAGGGAGATACAGACTCTGAAATAGGCTCCAGGCTCTGAGCTGGCAGTCAGCACAGAGCCCGACGCGGGGCTCAAACCCACGAACCGCGAGATCATGACCTAAGCGAAAGTCGGACGCTTAACCGACTAAGCCACCCAGGCGTCCCTGTTTGATACTTTTAAATGGGTTATAGCACATCTAGTAAATCCTGTGCAATGAATAGGAATGTAAATCGGAGGGTGCCTGGGTGGCTCAGTCGGTTAAGCATCCCACTCTTGATTTCCACTCAGGTTGTGGTCTCACAGTTCATGAGATTGAGCCCTGTGTCAGGCTCTGTATTGACAGTGTGTAGCCTGCTTGGGATTCTCTCTCCCTCTTTTCTGCCCCTTCCCCATGCATGCACATATTCGTTCTCTCTCTCTGTCTCTCTCTCTCTCTCTC